TCTTTCCAATTGTATTAACATAAACGACGAACTAATTTAAAGCAACAATAATAACATTTTTACAGATGGCTCCAAAAAGGATAACGGCACGGGCAGCACCTTCTGCAGACTGGAAAATGGTTCTGTAACATTTGAGTGCAAAAAGGAACTAGGATTGTACAACTCGGTATACCAAGGAGAGCTTCTAGCTATCAACGCTGCAATTAGGTTATAAGGTATTCGTCCCGCTTTCTTAGCGTGCCTTCGTGGTGTAGTAGTCAGCATACTTGGTGCGTATTCGAGAGGTCCGTGAGATGCGTATTCGAGAGTCCTGGCGAGTCATTTTTAGCATCTTCAGCTTCCAAAATACCTAATGTCTCTCGAACTAAAAAAAAGTGGTCAGGATTTGGTGATTGGGTCCCCTAATCCTCAGTCTCCCTTTAAAAGGGGGAGTATATAACATATTTCTCCTACTTTCTCAGCATGTCTTCATGGTGTAACGGTCAGCATACTTGGCGCGCATACGAGAGGTGCGAGGTTCGCGTCTCGGCGAACGCATTGCTCATTTCTTCAGTCTCCAGACATCGAAAAAATTCTAATGACTTTACAGTGGCGACCGAATTAAAAAAAGGAGGTGGATGATGGTTCTCCACCACCAGAATTTGGGGATTGGATCCCCTAATCCCCAGTCGCCCTTTAAAAGGGGGAATATATAAAGCATTTCACCCGCCTTCTTAGCATGCCGTCGTGGTAAAATATCTAATGTTTCTACAAGGTATACTAACGCATATCAGCAGCCACAATTCCCCATACTCAGAGATTCGGAGTGAGGTCTGGCGGCTATTGCAGGACAAAACAGCTGGAGTAACTTAGTATACCAAATTCAAATACAGCTTCAGATATAGCTTATCTTACAAAGACCCGCTCTAAAATGAGTCCCCACTCATACAGGGATTCAAGGCAATAAAGCCTCGGATCTTCTGCCCAAGCTGGCTGCTAATGACATGGGATTACTAGAAAGACCAACTAAAGTTCCCTAGTCTCACATTAAAAACAACTTTATAAGCTTGGGACAAAACTGGCAAAGTAGATGGTCAGAGGCAAAGATAGGATGAAGGACATTTTGTTTATTCATGTTATCATGGAAATCAAGACCCACTGCGCTACCCAACACAATTCTTGACAGGTCATGGGCCATTCCCAGTGTATCTTAACAGATTAAAACTTAGGGATACTCCCTTCTGGGAGTACAGAGAAGAAGGTGACATGGACCATTGTCACTTTTTTTTGTTGTTAAAACAATCTGGCACTTGAAGAAACCAGCAGACTGTGCCTGGGCAATGTGAATGTCCAACACGTTCAAAAATAGAGTAGTCCTTGGTAAAATAAAAACCTGAAGGCACTGTGTAAGCAGAAACCACTGTGAATAATATTATGTTTGAAATGACCAGAATTTAAAGCAGTTAATCAGGATAGCGCTTGGAGTCTGCAGTTATCAAGATAAATAACCCCCAAACTACTGGTAGGTTTATCATAGAATAGTAAGACTTGTTTTCCATTCAGCAAGAAGTATAAATGTGAGCGACACCTTTAGGCACTCAGTGCGATTATTAATATGAATTAGTTTTGGATAACAAAGACTTTATAAAATATAGAAACTGGTATTAGTAATAATAAGTTGTTACATTGTTACTTTGGGGATTTCCCCGCTATGATATAGTATATACTTCAGTTTGGTTCAAATCTGTGGTCGGAAGACATCATGGCGGTGCACTCAGTCCGGTGTTGAGGAAAGAGAATTATCTGATAAAAATTTTACATTTTTCATATGTGCAATATTTTCATCAATGTCAGCAATATTTAATGGCCAAATATTCTATTTCTATAAAACTATCAGTACAGTTCAAATAGCTGTCAAGGAGTGTTTATAGCAGTGGGAAGCCTAGTGGCTGAAAAGAGGATGCCTGCAGGTATTGAGAATAGTCACGGTTCACCATGAGCTAGAGAGAAAGAAGATTTTCATTCATAAAGGTCATTCAGAAATATTAAGACAAGTCAAATAAAATTTCTTACGCTGAATCAGAGCAGGCTAAGCTGGATTCCCAAACAAAATCATAAAAGCATTTGGAATCAGGTCCTGAAATTATTACTGGCTGGCCCAGCTTTGTTCCACACCTCATAAAAACTCTTGTCACAGGTTTGAGAGTTTCATCAGAGTTGACAGCAAAACATGCTCTACTGTCCCCAGATTCAAATGTAAGTAACATGTCAGTTGAATCTGAAAATTTAGGAGCATTTAAATCCATTATGTTCATTCACAGACAACAAATATTATATCAATTCATAATAATTTCTTAACATATATGATTAAGTATGGAACAAATACATTTAAAAACAGAAATGTGTCTCTTAATATTTTAATATTATATCAACTGCTTACCTGTCCTAAAGATGTCCTTTTAAAGATAATGCGTACTTTTTAATGTATTAAATTACTCATAATATCATGTGTTGCAAATTGTCAAATTTTCTGCATGAACAGCACCACCTATATTGGAACTGGAAAACTTTTGGACAGTTGCGTTTTATCAGCTGCTATGCAGGAAGAATATGTATTCGAGTGATGCCGAGTAAGCCACACATGCTTGTAAAAATAAAGTAGTTAGTTCTATTTCATAGCACAGAATGTGCAATGCAATCATTTGGTTCAAGTTAATTAATGGATACCTTTCTTTAGGATATCTAAACCTGCTGTGCCATGCCCTTTAGTGCCGCGAAATCTATTTTCCTGATCTTGGGCACTGAGGCATATGAACATATGCTTTGGACAAGTGGTCAGCTTGTTGCAGGACACCCGGTGTTTTGTCCCCAAGCGAACTTGGTACTCAATATATCGACTCACTCAAGGGATTAAAAGCTAAGTCAAACCTTGCTTAACCCAGTGCCCAGCTCCGTTGCTGCTATGCAACGCGCTAGCCACTGTGCCTTCGGGCCTTAAATGGATATCAAAAATATGTAATTTCTTTATAACGGCAAACGCAACTTGTCGAGAACCCCAGAGTGACTGATGATCTACATCACAGGTAAGCCTTTACTTATTTGATTGTAAAAGAAATAATTTTTTTGGTACCCTTGGTGGAACTGACATGATCTTAAAAGAAAGAAATTTGAGAATATGAGATATCTGAATTTGAATGCTATACATTATACTGAAGTTTTTTAATTCTTAAAATATTCAATGGAAGAATAATTTTATTTAAGTCAAAGACAATTGTTATTCATTCTTGAAAAATATATTTTTGTATTTGCATCAAAATTCATGAAGAAATTGATGAAAGACAAATGGCGGAAATATAAAGATAATAGTGGAATTAATTATAAGATGATTATTGTTTTGTTCCTTCATCTTGGTCTCTAGTATCTCTTATTACGAAATCTCTGGCAATGCAGCTTAATACATCATCATCACTTGTGTCCTAGTAGGCACAAGTCTTCTAGTTGACTTACTGTCTGCCCAGTTTGAAAGATAAAACTAACCATATATAATGTATTCTATTTATCCAAACTAAGTATTTATTATATCATTTTTGGGTTTAATATTTTACTTTATCAGTCACTTCTCTCATATATTTCATCAGTTTATCCCATATAACTCAATCTTTTCCTACCATGTCAACTTATAAGAAGTTTTATAGAAATGTTCTACTTTTGTACAGCAGGAGAAACCTCTTTAATTTTTATGATTTTTTTTTTTGACGAAAGAATGTAGGAAACTTACTAAATGATTTTATTTTCACAGTGTCTACCATGCCCAATGATAAGGGAAGGCCATTGAGGTCCACCATACAGATTGCTGCTGCAGGTAAACAACCAAATGTATCATTATTTTGCTGTATTCCATGACAGAAATTAAGATAGTAAGTCCTGAAAAAAAGTTATAATTTAAAAATGACAACAACTGAATAAAGAAAAGAATTCTGGGTAAAGAAAGAAATTAGGTGCAAGATATCAATTCTACTATTTTACACAAGATGGTATTAGTAATACGTCAAATTCATAGCGACATTGAAAAATAAAATACTTAAAAAGTTAATTATATCAATATAATAAAAAATAAAAGAATATTGCAATATAATTTTAAACAATATAGAAAAAGCAAAAGATCAGTAGCATTCCAATTCATCAATTCTGTTTCATACAAACCGGTAACAAATTAATAAATATAAACAATATTCATTTATATAAAATACGTAATAAATAAAAATATGAAAATTAAAATTAATAATTTCTCTACATTTCATTCTTTATCCATATAAAATAATTATTCTTTCTTTGTACATACCACATACTTAACCACATAATTTAATTATTCTTTACCTTCATTTAAATGACTGTGTTAAAAAAATCACTATTTTTGTATTAACCAATACCTTCCAATCTACCACCATACAATATATTAGTGTCTTATTTCTATAATTAGTAGAATTGATGAATTTGATTTCCTTCAGACTGTTTTTCTTACAGCTCGTTTATGTTTAATATGAAGTCTACAAAATAAATAGACACAAGCTTCTCTCAAACAACTTTGGAGTCCGTCCTTACATTAAAGCCCATTTCCTATTTTAAGTCCTATTTATTTATTTTCCTATATTAAGTCCTATTTTATTTTTTATAAAAGCCTATTTCACTGGCTTTTATTGACTATTTCTATCATAGATCTTCCTTTGCATTTAGTTTCAAATTAGTTTTAGTTTGGCAAATTTAGTAAAACCCATTATGAATAATGCTTTGAAAATTAATAATTGATGAGCAGATATTGTAAAATCTGAAAGTGTTACACCATTAAATTCACTTTTAGGGTAGGTCTGAAGCTACTAAAGGATAATTTTTTAATTTTAGTCAATTTTTGAAGCCCTCAAATTATTTCCATACGTTTCTTATTAGAACGTTATTGTGACTGCTTTAAGAATGAAATTATCAACTTATGTTATGGAGATAAATTCCAGTGATGAGATATGAACCTATAACTTGAAACCATATGATCTTTCATCAGCATCACGTTTATCTACTAACTGTCTGCAGCAGATAGCTATTGGTTCTAAAGTGGAACTAAATGCATCACAAGTACTGGAAGAAGAAATATACGTGGAATACGCTATAAAATATTGCAAGTAATAATAAAAATGCCAAATAATGCATAATAAAATATAATAAACATAATAAAAGTGAAAACATAACAAAAGTGCAAAATAATGCATATTGCAAGTACTGGTTTATTGACTTCTTCGTGCTAAACCCATTTTATTTTTCTCATATCCTCAACCATACTGGATACATGAAGTAAAAAGACTGATTAATTAATTGAATCAGCTGGTGCTTAATACACCATTCACTTAAAGATATTGCAATTCTCAAGCCTGAGGATATCGTGACCATGGAACAACCTCATTTTACACACTATGTGGACTACGCTGATGCCATTACTACTAAATTCATTAAAGATCGCAGTTCTAAAACAATGAAGAAAACTTAACCTTTTTGTTTGCTTGTCAATTAAAATAGTGCACATGGAAGCAGATAGTGATCTGACAGCAAATACATCTTTTGCTTCACTTAGATGCTTCGGTCAACTTACAGTGCACCATTACAGTGTACTTATAATTTAGAGCAACAGTCATGAACTCTAGAGAGTTTTCCATTACCCTAGACGATACCGGGATGATACTGTGCCTATGCAAGGAGAGCAGATCAGTGTTTTACATTTTGACCGAGAGAGATTAGAAAGAACAAGTTCTGTTAGCAAGATAGGTGGAAATTTTGTCTGCCCAGGGGTGATAAACATTACAGATGGCATCATGTTCCATTATTATTGTCTCTTCAGATTTGATCGATATATTTTTATGTTTGTGAACTAAAATTTACTCATATGTACTGTCATATGCATGAGAGTGATTTAAACAAAATTGATGCTACAGTGCTGACTTTATTCACACTTATCAAAAATAAATCAGTTACGAATGTTCGCACTCAGAATAATCGCATTGTTTTAAGAATGCAATTATATGTGAATAGCATTCTTTCACAGTTGAAAATTATTATCAACTAAATTAATGTTTGTTCAACTTCCATCTGGCAAGAAATGTCAGAGTGAATGACACCTATTTATTGTTGTGTTTGAATTCCTGTGCCGGCTTATTTGTTATGGGAGAACTTTCAAAAATATTTTCTATGGTATCGAAAGTTTTAGATTCAGCTATCCTTCTAACTCCCTGCCATGACTACTACCAGCAGTTGTCCCATGGGTGCCATAAATGACAGCATTCACGACATCAGGAACTGTCTGTTCTGTCACCGGTTTCTACTCTAAACTAGACTAAATTGCCAAGGATCCCATTTTTTTTTTCAAATTCCGAATCATGCCTTTCAATGCATTAATTGATACAGGACCTTTACGCACATTTCTTACGACTTCTTATTTTACGAAAAATGGCGGCTGCATTCAATTCATGAAGATAAACCAATTTCACAAGCAATATGTGTTGAGGTACAGTGAGACCACGGTATACACTAGAAATTTCCTATGATCCCCATACCCATAACTGGATAACTGATGCTGTTGTTCATTGCATACCTGTGCATTTGCCTTCTACGCTTGATGAAAATTTTCAGCCGCATAAACTACAACAGTGATAGGACTGCTATAAGTAGTCATGAACCTCCCTTTTTGGTTGCAATCGGCGCCACCTAAAGTATGTGTATATATATATATATATATATATATTGCTTTGAAAAGGACTGAATTATATTGTCCTTATCTTATCAACATTTAAAAATGTTATTTTATGCCTTTAATTAATGTGCATGCAATAATTTTAAAATTATCAATAATTCAATAATTTAATAGTTGTTTAAGTGGGGATAAGGGAGGATCAGTATCTGAAAGCTGAAAATCAGCAAATATAATTTTTATTTTAAAGATCTGCATTTTAATGTTGATTTGAAATTAAAATATTATGCCACTCAAATATATGTATTTAATAGTCTCGTTGGGTAGACAACAGCCTCCTTATAGAAGAATGTTATCAGTAGTGCTTATTATTTTCACGAAAATGATAATAACTTTTAAATATGGTTTTCTAGAGCAGGTATTTGCTTTGAGAAGGTGCTCTGCAATTACAAAATCACCCCTTTTTTTTACAATTATCGTCAAAGAAACATTTAAAAATGTTTCATGAAATAATTTCGTCTAAACTTCAAAATATACGAAAAATCAACTTACGTGTTTTTACTGTCCGATGTGTTCCAATTATATGATAGACTAGAAAGAAGACTAAAATCAAAATGGCTTCCATCAAAATCAAAAGAGCACTGATTCTGCAATTTTTGGCATGCTATTGATGTTTCCCACAGGAATACAGTCATACAACTATACTTCTGAAATTTAACCCATAGCTTAAAAAATAGCTGACATTCATTTATTTAAAATAAACACTAATTTACAATTAATGCCTATTATAGCTAGATAATCACATAGACACAAAAATGTAATTTATAATTAAGAGTAAATTAAAATATTATATTCAGACACACAAAAGCGAAGTGGAAATGAAAATTGTTCAAAACACTAAATAATCACTGCATAGAATTGACATAAAAGAATTTATTTATAAATCTTAGTTTTAATTTTTCAGCCAACAATTATTTTGGGGTAAAATTTAACACAAAATTAAAACCAAGAGCTATATTAAAAAGCCTACTCAGAAAAAAATTAGTAAACAGAACAAAACAAAACAGAACAATTGGTGCAAATTACCTCTCCAAAAATTCGAGAAATATAAAAAAGTAATTTTCTGTAAGATTAAAAACAATATAATTGCACATTTCACAGATGAAAAAAAGATAAGATAGAATTCTAATTTTAATTTTCAATAGTCCATAAACTCTACATTTCAGTTTGGTTAATACCCCTTTTTCTCCTGAAAACAGTAACTTGCTTATAATAAATCTCTCTAATCATTTCAAAATTAAACCTCCTCAAGTGATTCTGATTAAATTCTGTGGACACGGGCACTAACATAACACTTCAGAAAATCCTAAAATTTAAACTTGCAAAATGAAAAGTAAATTAATGGGTCAAAATAAAGTGAAGCCGTAATTTATTAGATATTTACCAGAGCACGAAACAGAGGGAGAAAAAAAAGCTCTTCACTAAAAGGGCAACCACGGAAGAGGAAACCTTTTGCCAAATCCTGGTAGTAACAAATTATCATTCACAGCATTTTAATTTGGTCTCTGATTGTACAGTCTTTAAATTAATTTTTATTTATTTTTCTTTAAAGCCAGGAAACGCGAAGAATCAGTGATACACTCACGAGTTTCAAACTCTGGATCTGAGATGTGCTTCCCATTACACCATGAAGGCAAAGAAGAAAATTCCTTACAAAATCATAATTGAAATAGTTAACCATAGTTAACTAAAGTTACATGAAGAAAATACATACTCCTTCTCTCGGTTCATAAGTCTCAGAAGCTTGCTGTCTGCCTGTGGAGCTTTCATTCTTGAAGTATATTGAAACAATGTTAAAAGACACTGTCTCAATCTGTACAGGACATTTTACTGGAGAGCAGTGAGCGAAGAGATTTTATTCATGGAATCCATGAGTTGAATGAAAGTGGAGATACATTTAAATGAAATGCTTAAGAAAGATATAATGTAAATTGAAGCAATGCATCGTGTTTTGAATTTTTCTGTTAGACTTATCCTTCCAGATATCTAGATGGATCTTAGCTGCTCAAATATTGTCATTGGAAGAGGGTCAACCTCATTGTTATGTAAATTCAAAATTAATTATCATTCACTTAAAATTTAATTTATTTTAAGAAGTTGGCTCTGAAGTCTCTTAATGAGATTGTTAAGGACCTTCTTTTCATATACTAAAATTCTGGCGGGAAAAACTGGCGGGAGTTATCCTTAATTTTATGATAATATGTTTTTCTATTGATCTCGTTTCTACTTCTCTGCCCAAATGTGAATTTTTAACTCATACGATTTTCTAATGAGGTAGAGGAAGTTTTTAGAGGGTAGTTTAAAAGAAGTTTTTGAGTGTCAAATCAGAGTGGGTTCTGCCTACTTGGCATAGGGATTCATATGTGTGTGTGTGGACATATATGTATTGATTTTGTGGATAGGCATAGGAATGACGAAGCTTGGCATCATAGTCCGGGCGTTGTTTGGCTGAGTGGAATACAACAGAATGATGACACAGAAGGATTTTGCTTTTAATTGCACATCTTTATTCAATTCAAATCAGCTAATTTTCTTTTAGATGAAATTCTCCAAATTACATATCATATAGTATTTTAAACTAAATAAGATGAAATCTATGTTAGAATAATCATAACTATTCTAACAAAGGGAAGAAAGATGGACAGAGTAGCGCAGTCTTGTATCAACGATAATAGCAAGCACGTCTGACTAAAAAATGACGAGTACTCGGTATCTATACTAGCAGTTAAATAACATGCCAGAATATTCTCGAAATGTCTCTTCTTCAATCTTCCAGGACATGAAAACAGTATTGCTGCAGGAGTGGGGCTGATTTCCATAAGGATTCATAAACTGTCTTCCAGTATCAAATCATACTGATACTGGAAGACAGTTTATGTATATCGAGAAGACAGTTTATGTATTTTTCAGTATCAAATTCCAGTATCAAATCACATTGTGAGAGCTGTACAAGTATCAGATAAGAACATAACCCTTTATAAACTTAGAAGAAAAATATCTTGCAATTTCTGTTTTAGACTTCCCGGCACAAATCAGCCTTACGATCAAGCATGTGCATTATGAGTGTTTCATAAGTGTTCATGAGCGTTTGTATTATATCATCCTATGTCTATAGTAAATTTCATTATAATGTATTCACTCTTTCTAGAGATAATCAACCAAATGTGAAAATTATTTTATCTTGAACATCAGTGCATAAAGCATTAGTCAATATGATGGCATTATAGTAGAGTAACCTATTATTAAATATACATATCAGCGTGTTTGTGACCCCCCATTTATAAAAAATCTGAGAATACCACGGAATAAAAATCCCACACAGTTTCAAATAGTACAGAATATTAATGTGAAATACTTACATACGTATATAGTTCCAAAGAATTTTAGGAGTCAAGTAAGATTTATAATAATTTTAAATTGATAAAAGTATGCTTCCCTATTTCATTTTACATAGATGCTTAGCCTTTAAAAAAATAATTGCAAAATTTAGCTTGTTTTATGGGGGGGAGGGTAGAGGAAAGGTTGTGCTTATATTTTTCTTTGCTAACAATTGAAAGTTCAGATGGCTAAGCCAAACTGATATAGCCATTGGATTCACTCTTTAAGAATTAGATTAGAGATTGAAGTATGTAAACTAACAGGTGTTAGAGATGAGAAACTGCAAGGACTTCACGGAATGTAAAAATTGGTGATAAGCCATCCAGTTATTCAACAAATTAGCCCTAATTAATTTAACAGAACGATCGGTGCTCAAGGATGTTCCACATTCTCCTAGAATATAAGCCATATAAAAAACGAACATTCAATAAAAGGTCCATGTAAGTAAGTTAAAACAGATTTAATTAATTTTATTAATATTGCATGTTTTTGCTTTCCCTAATCATTCAACACCTTCACAATGGAATAATTTTCAAGAAAATAGTAAAAAGATTTTGCAATCTCAATCAATCCATTTTTTTAACTCAAGAGAATGGCTTTAAAATAAGTGTATGAACAATACATGTATTCATCTTTAATTTTTGACATTATTTTAGCTTGAAATTAAGAAAATTAATTTTTTCAAAAGAAATAACAATCTGGATTCAGAAAAGGATTATTTTTAATCTTTTTGGGGCGTTTCTTTTAAACAGTGCAGCCTGGAAATATCATGGGCTCGAGAAACAGAAGGCGAAACTTCACCCTGTAATTTTGATGGAAGCGAGAAGGAAAGGGTTAACTTGAATATTCAGCTTTCCTGCACAAGACAAATTTCTGTCAGCGAAAACTCAGTTGTGCTCATACAAGAAGTTTCATCTCTCACTGAGGTTTTGTACAGTTCCTGTACATGGTTTTTATAAGCTTTACAATCAAAAAATTTAAACTTTTAAAATATCTGAATATTATAGTTGTTCTAAAATTAAATTTAAAAAAGATAATGAATCCGAAGATTGGAGAAACATCAGCATGTTTTATATGTGCAAAATTAGCAAATGTTTTGCTTAGTAAATGTTATGTTGATTTCATAACTGTTTTATTAACAGTATAAAAAAAACTAAATAAACAGAGTTGACAGTAACAGGCATTTCAACTTCAGATATATAAACTTCAAAACCTCTACTGCAAAATTACTTTACAACAATTTTTGATATTTTCTGATTATCTGCCCAACCCTCCTGCAAATTTGCCGTTCGTTTCAAACTAAATTCTCGCGCACTTAACACATGACATCCAGTATCCATTTTAAAAAATGGCAGTGCACTGAAAATTACATAAAACAGCAATGAATTAATGAAATTAAAAAATGCAAGAAACATTCATTACCAAACACTCAAAATTATATAAAACTGTAACAGATTAACTATGAAAAATGTAACGAATATTCAGAATAAAATAATTTTCTTTTTTCCCAGTCTTCTGTCTATGTGCACAGAGATCTGTTTCAACTTAAGAAAACACCAGAGAATTGCAGATTTCTTGGCATTGCAGATCAACCTGGCAATACTCTCCCTGTGCACAATGACCTGTTTAAAATTTAAAAAAAAAATCCGAAAATTCCACAAATTATCATCATGGAATCCGGATGCCTACACTCTCTACTACTAGGCAGAACGATATATTTCCGAAAGAACACAACATTTTCTTTGTCATAAGCAGGCAAGCTCTATAGTAACATCACAGTCTGTTACAAGCAGAAAAACTTCACTCACTAATCAAAAAAGCAGAAATCACAAACATGAGCCTTCAATTTCAAATATGCAAGCTTTACCAACAGCACCTGGCACTATGTGTTTTCATAATGTGCCAGAAACATTAGTGGGTTGGCAGATAAATACATTTTCGGAAAGTTCTGGTTCGCCCACTTTGGATATATTGCGTTTTCCCAATGAATCTTGTCAGAGTTCGGTGGACAATCAGAAAGTACCCAATTTTTTTAAACTTAAAATTCATATTATGTATTCCTTTTCGATTTTTAGCAAATATTCTTAAAAAATGTTTTAAAATAATTGAATTAGTAATAATTTTATCTACGTTTTAAAAAAAGAAGTTACAGTCTTAAAATAATTTTTCATTAAAATTCTGTTTTACATAGAAAAACGCAGTTCCTAAGTTATCACACAGCCCCCAATGAAATAAAAAATTTTAATGATTGAAATACATGAAAGGCTTAGTGAGGTTCATAAAACTGCAAAATAATATATATACGAAATTCATCAAGAACCAAAATTAGTAATCTGTATAAAATACTGTTAGTTACCTTGTGAAGCACAGGTTCTCCTCTACCAACAAATGGATTACAAACAAAAAGCACTTCTGATGTTAAATTTGTCTCAGCTGAAACAAAAGAGCAAAATAATTGCATAGAATTAAAAAAAAAAATTATATAAATCCAACTTAACGATATCTAATAACAGAAGCAGAACCTTATCATTAAACACATGAAAATCAGCAAGCAGATTAATCAGATTAGCAAACAATAAAACTTCATATAATTATATAATATGAACAATTACAGAGTTATTACTTAAATTAAGGAGTTATTAAAATTTAGAACTTTGCCACAACTCTTCATCCTTCCTTTTTTCCTCACCAGAACGTAAATATGATAGCTAGTATTTAAACTGAGGTTTTTGGATTTTAAGGCAAAGCACGTTTCTGGCCTGCGAATGCATACTTAGTTGCTGTCAGCTCTGATAGCTGTAATTATTCGGCTTTGCGTTACATCGTTGCCGACACCTTTATTTTGATGCTCTGGTTAGAATTATTGAGATAGCTTATAAAAAAATTTGGTACTATTCCGTTTTGAGGGCCGTAAAAAAATTGCAGCGAAAATGTACGCGCAAAAGCGCCGAATCCAGCAAACGCAGCCATTTAACAGCGCGCCAAATCTAGCGTAAGCGCTGATTTCAGATTGCGTAAGTTTATATAGTGGCATAGTTCTATATTTCTTAAGACGCCATTGAAATACTAGTTTAATTTTTAAATCTTTTTTTGATTTTAAATCCTCTTTTGATATCCTATGGAATTAACAATTTGGGAATTGCCCATGACGAAAAAACGGCAATAGAATTTTTGGGTAAAGTGCAGAATCACCCACTGCTTGACGCGTTTTTAAGAATTGCACATACTCGGTATCCATGTGCACATCGACCTATTTTCACTTAAAAGAAAAATCTTAGAATTGCACAAAAATGGCACTGCGCACACCCTTGACTTTATCTATGTACACACCGACCGATTTTCACTTAAAAAGTAAAAGAAAATTGACAAAAATCCAGTTGTTTTTACCCTTGTAAAAAGCGGCAAACAAATAAGTGAGCGATTCTGCACTTTACCGAGAATATTTTCAAAGAAAAGGCATCATTTATTATAGAAAATCACGCTTGAACAACCAACGAGATGAAATTATGCTTTAGCGATAAGTCGGTAGCGAAACAGCGATGCAGGCGTCCATTCAGTTATGTTTAGCAATTTTTATATAAATTATAATAATGATCTGAAATAGTTATTTCCTCTTATGCTTCCATTCAGTCATGTTTAGCCTTTTTCATATAAATTATAATAATAAAATTGTATTATATGAAATTAATCTTTCATCTAAATTAAAACATCAATCTTAGATAGTTATTTTACTGTTATACTTCGTTTCTTGCCGCAATTATTACGGTTGCCGCAATTATTTTTGGCAGCATTGGCATCAACAATAGTTTAGCGATTTTTTACGGCCCTCGAAACCGAACAGTACCAAAACGGTAATTGCATAGTCTTTGACAACTGTTCCACGTTTAATTTGAATTTCACTGTTCTGTTTAGTTACATCACCACGAGGTGTGGTTGATATTGTTAGCATAAGAAAGTGCATTTATGTTCTAAATTCTGTTTGGGGCCCTAAGTTATAACTTGTGCATCTTATGCGCAAATCCGGCACTGTCTATGACTCTGTAGTTACTCTCAGACATTGCGATAATTCGCTTCATGTCTGTTAAGAAGTTTTTTGGACTCATTACTAGTTCCAGATAAAATAAACCCCATAAATTGAATATTTGGCATGTAGTGCATAGGGAAGAGCTGCTTTCCTTTACAGGGCAATACATGCCAAGCAGTTTTATAGAAAAATATATGTGGACCAAACATTGGCTACTGTTAAACTAAATGTATTCTTTATTTCTCCCATAGAATTCTTATTTTAAAAGTAAGCACTGTCAGTAAACATTTTAGCGTATTATTACATTTTGTTCCTCTTTTCTAAAATAAATTATCTAAGTGTTTCGAAAAATTTTACCAGAGTTGAAATCAGCTGATAACAAAAATATGTTTTGTCACTGGTAGTATCAAGTTGGCATCACACATGCAGTAATCTGATGTATTAAGTGACTATCAGTATTATTATAAGGAATGTTCTTAAAGTTTACCATACTGAAAGTAATGGGATTCTGTAAATACATCATTTGAGTTGTGCCAAGATGCTGGTAAACCCATTCACTATTAAACGCGCTAACTATTGACACATTTAATACTTCAAGGCATTAAATAGTTACACAAATTATAATTAAAAAGAAAGAATGAAATATTTAATGAGATTCTTCCCATTACTCAGCTTAAACGCAATTTAATAAATCTCCACCCTCAAATTTTGAAATCATAACATGGGAAAAAAGGAAAAAGGTGACTTACAATGTGAAGGACAAGGATCTCCATCATAAAATGTCAATTTTAATCTTATGCCATCGTATGTAATCTTCTGCGATACAGCAACTCCATAATTACGAACATTATTTCCTTCTATTTTGAATATTGTGGAAGTTTTACAGTTAGCAAGATGTGAAATCTCAGGAGTAGCACATACATTTAAGAAATAAGAAGAATTTCCATCAGTCACCTATGATGAGAAAAATTACAGCTTTTACGCTATCTTACAGATACATTAAGGTTATCAAATTTAAAAAAGAATAATTTATTTAGCTAGTTTATGAATTACATTTAGGTAGCATAATGAATGACAAAAATTGGTAATATCTTAAATATATATATATATATATATATTTAGCATGCCAAGTGTTAATAAACATTGTTGAATAAATCTGTTCAATCAGCCCCTACCGTGACCAAAAAACCATTACCATAATAAAATTAAACATAAGAAGGCAAAGGGGTTTCTCTTAAAGAAATTAAATTTAGAAAACCAAACAAACTGATTACATTTTCAATATTTTATTTACTTAACCAATTAAAACTCAACTGTAATTAGTTTTATTAGGTTAAGAATAAATGCATTTGCAAATACAAATATCCTAATGCAGTTATACAAATCATCTTATACAAAGTTATTATACAAATATCCTAATTTGCAAATACAAATATCCTAATCCTTAATCAAAATATCCATAACATGCTTACATCTTGTAAGACCTGTCTCTGTTATTCCACATAAACTAAATTAGATCCCACAATGAACCTGGCGAATTCTCACGCAAGCGTGAATTTATTACCAGCACAGAAGAAGGGTGAAAATAGCCCTTTATTAATTCAAACTAATTCAACAGAAAGGCACGAACTTCATGTGTTACAAAAACACAGTCTACTTGCGGTGAAAAAACTAAAACGTAGAAAATAATACAAGTCAAACGTGAAATAAATAGTGCAAGAGCGCACGTAAGTTTATGCCTGGACTCACAGGAATCTAATGTCGTGATACTAATCTGATAAGGCCAAGAGGCTTACTAGCATGACTGCGAAATAACAACGAAATGTGCGCTTGGCTAGGGAAACACGCTCTGAAAAAAACTGAGATATTCATACGTTTAAATAGCCCTTCACTTGAAATTTAGTACAACCTGGCGAGAGAATGTGAGGGGAAGTTTAGAACAGGTAATCAAACTTAAAATAAATTTGTTATGCAAAATAAGGAAACCTCTACACATATAGTGCAAATATAGTTTGTTAAACATTCATGAATCAATTTAAAATTTTATTGAAACGAAAAAGATCCTCATTAAAAAGAGTAGAATGACCAAAACGATAATTAAGTCAATTTATGCACAGCTTTTCTAGACACTTCTCCAAGCAGGTAAGTAAACGCATGGAGGTAAACTAATACAACAAATGTCATCAATATGCGTCTTTGATGCCTCAGTACTTTTAGGAATAAGAATAAACATCGCACTCTTCGAGCTATGTGAGAAAATTAAAAGTTTGAGACACATATTAAAAAAGCCATGAAAGTTAAAGGGGCAGTTAAGTATCAAAATGTTTAAATATTTCATTAGTTATCCTATCAGAACCTGTTGACTTATAAAAACTTAAGCTGCCAATCATACAATCAACTTCTGTGATAGAAAAACACACCATTATCAGTATCATACGCCATATCGGCTTCATAGCACAAAGACCGATGAATATAACAATAATCGTATACTAGAGAATCAGCGAGTGAACGACTTATCACACAAAAATCCCACAAAGAAGAGGGAAAAAGTCTTCTATTTGCATGTAAAATCTCACGCACAGATCACAATAACAGCACACTTATCTTTAGAAAATCGAGATCTAATGTCATCTGAAATATGTCGACAATCTCTCTCAACAACATCATTTACCAACATGCCAGGCATAGTAAACAAGGCAATAAACAAACAATCAAAATGGCACAAATACATCCAAGTAACATCCATGTGCAATCCAGCAAATAAAATCCACGAGAGAGATGCAACTGAATAAAAAAATTACTCAGATACATAAATGCCGTAACTAGTTTAAGAACTTGCCATAGGAAACAAAATCTCGTGAAAATCGCAAGTTACCATGCGAGACAAAATACCACCAAATTTGGCGGCCGTTGCTTTGGCACATCTGTACCTCGGAAGTAAAATTATTAACTCATAAATGATACAGTTAAAACAAGATTTGTCATACCTCATAATATGGCTTCGTTCCTGTCTTTTGAAGTGGGAGAAGATTGAAATATACATTTCTGCTGTCATCAGTATTATTAGAAAATGTGAATTTAGAATCACTGATGAGCTTTACTGGGCATACAATGCTAGTTCTCCATTCAAAAATAAAGTAACACTCATCATCCTCAGTAAGAAGAACATGCTTTCCCTGAAATGCAAAAATTTATTAGTATATTCTGCATACATTATGGCTGAACACAGAGAGACTCGATTTCTGTATGCAAGCAAACAGGAGAAAAATCCCCCTCCTCAAAGAAAAATTATAAACAGCCTATTTTAGAATGTGAAATTTAAATAAAACTAATATTTTTCATATATCAAAATAAGGAAGAAAATTAATGTAAACTGAATTATTCATCATAAATGATGCCTAGATTAATATTTAATAGAGGCAATTCATTAATGTTTCAGTACTTATTTCGAAATTACTCAAAAAATGTTTCATAACTCTCCACGATTAAAGTTTTTTAACAAAATCTTTTCTTTTTAGATGCAATGATACAGTCAAAAGTCGTTAATCCGGACTCGTCGGGACTTCGGCGATTCCGGATTATAGATCATCAGTTTAAATCTGGTAAGATGGCATGCAGAGATAACAAAATTAAAAATATGAAATCGTAATTTATGAAATAAAGAACAATTATGATCTAAAGAGTATCAAAATTTACAAAAAGAAAAAGCTTAATATTTATTTGTTTACTTTATTAAACATTTCTTTCAATGTAAGTTGTTTAAGTTGCTTCGTTTCATGTGATAATGCTTTCTCTTTAATTCTATTAAACAGACATTTCGTGTTTAGTTACAAAGTTCCGCTGTTCAAGTCCTATAATTGCTGTGTCGAGAATATCGACTAATTTGTCAATCGAAATTTTTTCGTTTTCAATAACCTCTGTGCCACTTTCTTCACTATCGGAAGCGAATTATAATGACGAGGAACTTGATTTAAATCATATCAAAGACGGAGTACATCGAGATGAAATACTACATTTAGTAAGGAATTATAAGCCAGATAAATTAAAAACATCTGCCCTGAAGATAAGGATAGTGCTGACAGAACAACTTCCAATTCGCTGCGCGCCGTGGCGTTTCTCCCCCCCCCTGCCGCAGAGAAGCGTGAAATTGATAAACAAATTTCGGATTTCAAAACATACTTTCGCTTTGTAGATCCTTTACATATTAGTAAATATATATCGGAAATTCTATTTGACATAATCGAAAGTTCAAGCTTACTTTTATAAAATTGCTCTAACCGTCTGCAAAAAATAATAAGCCGGATCCAATTCGAAGATTAAGGAACAACGCAATCGCAACATTAATTGAATTAGATAATTTTAGCTTAGCTTATGCCGTCCGTTATACATAAAACGCGCATGCGTAAACGTATTATGCGCTTGCGCACACACATACTCTCAACCGTAAAGGTCTTACGCGCACGCGTAAATCCCTATGCTCATGCGTCAACGCGACGCATGCGCAGAAAGTTTGTAGCTTTGAGGTCCGGATTATAGATCATTCCGGATTATGGGTGTCCTAATAAACGACTTTTGACTGTATTAAAAAATTACTATTACAGTATTAATGATAAAGTATTTATTTATTTGTGAGCGGTTACCATAACCTAAATAAATTAAAGTAAATAAATTAAATAGTTAAAACTCATCTCAGACTGTTTGGTGTTCATTAGAGTTAATCATTTTGTAGTTCCGACAGGAATCAAATTTTAGTTCAAATAAGAAGTTTCAAATTAAAAAAATACTCTAATATTTCAAGAAAATTATTTTAGCCGTTTTACACTGTACATACATTCAATGGTAGATCAAACCTTGAGCATAACATTTCTTTATAACCTTAAGATCTGTGAAGTTCAATTAGCTAATTGACTATGGTAAAGAACTCAAAAGCCAACTGGCTTAATAAGGATGCCTTCACGCAGACTTTATAAAAAAACCTGGCTCATATTAATGTCAAATACAGGAAAGGTTAGGCAAGGTTACTTGAATATGGCAAAACACATAGATCTGTCTGCCTATATTATTGTAACACATATTTACAAATTATGAATAAGCTGAAATAAGATTATGCAAGTGCTTTCAACTAACAGCTACTAAAGTTACGTATTTTACATTGCTGTTACAGTTATAAATATAATACCTCTCTACTAAACTTCTAATCTGAGAAACTATGATAAATTTTAAAATCTAATAATTTTTTTTTTTTTTTTTTTTCATTTTTGTAATAGAGAAGAAGCTAAAACGCATTACTATTTTGCATCATATGGTATATCACATGACAATACTACATATTTACGACTTCTTTCCAAATTGATTTTTTTAGTACTCATTTCTACTAAGTGTGTTAAAAAAGCAAAGATACAACAATTGCAAAGTCATTAAAAATATAATCTGCATGCATTATGTTATTTCTAACTACCAGAAACATAAGCTAATAAAGATACAAAGTGCACAAAATAAAACTGAGAATCACATATTCAAACCATTTATTTATGGTATTTTTTGTAAACAATTATATAAATGACTTGATGTAGAGGAAAAATTGAGAAATTTCATCTATTCAGTTGTCCTTATAAATTCTTATATACTTCTAATTTTAAAATAATAAAATATAACATACATGCATTACATAACTTGACATGATAAATGCAAACTTACTATTCCAGCTTCACTATCACACAAAAATATGATCCTTGCATGATTCTGAAAGTTTGAATTTTTTACACAAGTGGATCCATTAGTATAAACTGCAGTGACATGGCCCATAAAATCAACAAATGGTGCATACTGAACACTTCCTAAACTCTAAAAATAAGTAAACAGATAAAAAAGAAAAGTAAACAGCAATCAAATTAAATATAATATATATGATACATGCATCAACATCTAAAAATTTTAAGCAGTTTTGCCAATTCAGTAAGCAGTAATTCATAATTGGCCAGTTTTTGCCAATTATGAATTACTGACTTGCCGTGGGATTCAGACATGTTTTACTAGTTCAACACAATATTTTCTAAACGTTTTTTAAATTGAAGAATCAACAGTTAAATATTTATTCAAGCATTCTCTCCCCATTTAGTTGGTAGCCAACTATCATCTGCTTTGATGTTAAACCAGGTCTTGAATTCAGGGATGCGTTGTCCATAAGGACAAGGTCGTGTGGAGCCCAAAGGCGCCAAGGATATACTCTTTTTAATTTATTTTGTGATATTGCTTTTGAATTGAATTTTATGGTTTAAGTGCAGAAAACACGATATTTGATTAATAAACGTAACACACAAAACTTAAACAAAAAGCCCCTTTGGGCGTAAAATTTGAAAACTTTCAGATTTTATTTATGTATTTATTTTGTGTGCGTTTATATTGTGAAAAATAATCAGATAATTACTGATTAAAAAGAAGCATAAACCAAGAGAATTTAATAGAATGAAAAACGTACATAGCCCATTAATGGGCAAAATCTATAAAATTCCTGAACATTGCTAGTTTGACATAGGTTAGAATATCAGAGAACGAGCTTTTAAGTATTTCCTTATGTTTAAGGAAAGTGCAAACCAGTTTCCCTCAAAAAGTCTCCACAAATGGGATGGGATCCCTTCCCTAGTCATGTCTATGGGGACAGATAACCTTTGTATGCTTTTCTGTACTGATTTAAACAAACAGTAGCCACCATATATGAAATAATAATTATAATGATAAAAATATTATGTAATTGTGAGATCATATACATCGTCGACATCAAGCCGAAACCACGAATCAACAACATCTCTTTCCGAGGGAAATAATTTTATTGGCATATTTGCAAAAATCGATGTTCTACACTCTAGATCTAATGTGGTTAACAAAAACAAATACATTTTACTTTTTGATCATATTGCAAAACAGAAAAATAACAGAAAAAATTCAATATTAATATTAAAGGGTATCCTCGGAAGGGAATGAAAAAATATTGTTCACTTTTTCTGGTTCATTTACATCATATAATAGTTTAGATTCTTGGCCTAAAATTTTAAAATGATATTTATTCAGTTTTAAATTCTATAGTGTAGAACATCAATTTTTGCAAAATTCTTAACTGTATTTTTTGCAGTTTTAAAGCATATGTTCTCCTTTAAGCAAAATAGTAAACATTTAAAAATAATATAAAACGTAGACACACACTCTTTGTTCTCTTCCTCTGTTTAACAACAAAGGCGTCTCGACGAATGGAACCGAGACATTTTACTAAATTGCGGGAATCACTATTAGAAGTTCAATTAGGGATAAACTATGAGGGATACGGCCAATTTGATCACGATAAAGTGAAAAGTAACGGATCAGTTGTATAAGACATTAACAACTGATCCGTAACTAACGTCTTCGAAACTTACTACGTTTTTCCTACAAATATTGCTATGTGTTGTGTTACTAGCAATAATTTTTTAACTTGTGTTGAGTTAATATAAATTACTTAATACGGGCGCCATGAAAACAAAAAGCATAAATTAGAAAAAAGTGTAAAAAAAAATTTAGATTTTCTGTTCTCAAAACACTTATACATTTTCTAACGAAATGAACTCTACCGGAAACATTTCTGTTGTGGAAAAAGGTAAGCAATCTTTCCTCTCATTTGAAAGTATAAAATTATTTTTATACTTTCAATTTTTTTATACTGACTATTATATAAAAGTAATTATAGCTATTATAATAATAGATATAATTATAATAAATAAAATAACTTTTTATGCCATTTCAAAATTCATGCAGTAAGTGTTATTATGTATTTATCTAAACTGAAAATTTTGGTAATTGGTAAGCTTGTTCAATTATTAATTACCTGCGGTTATGAATTGTACTAGAAACATTAGTTTCATTTGCATTTATCTTAATTTTAATTAACTGTACTATTCAGAGATATTATCATGCAGATAGTTAATAATGCTTCCAAGTTACGCAGTTAGAGGAAACAATTTTCATAACAAAATTATTTCTTTAATGTATATTAACAAGTCTCCCCACAGGATTTAGGTCGACGAATATAATATTAGACCTTTGCCGGACAAGATGGACCATGTGGAATAAGGCGTACCATCATTTTTATCAAAGCTTTTTCGATATAACTGAAGCCCTAGAACCAACCAGATGCTTATGTGCATAATCTATGGATTTTCGCAATGTAAGCGAGAAGATATGGTTCTGCCGAATTCAATCATTTCATCTGCTTTCATTGTAACATTCATAACAGTATATCATTATCTATCTCATTTAGAAAGAATTCTAGTTAAACTTCAGCGACAAGCTGTTGATATTGTGAAAGCTTATAACATGGGCCAGGAAATAACTGAGTTTTATATATCTAAGTATGAAAATGTAGAAAAGAGTTTTGAAAGTAGATTTGATTATGCTGGACAAATGTGTAAAAAATTAGATACAGTCAAAAGTCGTTAATCCGGACTCGTCGGGACTTCGGCGATTCCGGATTATCGATTTTTCCGGATTATAGATCATCAGTTTAAATCTGGTAAGATGGCATGCAGAAATTACAAAATTAAAAATATGAAACCGTATTTATGAAAATAAAGAACAATTATGATCTAAAGGGTATCAAAATTTACAAAAAGAAAAAGCTTAATATTATTTGTTTACTTTATTAAACATTTCCTTCAATGTAAGTTGCTTCGTTTCATGTGATAATACTTTCTCTTTAATTCTATTAAACAGACATAATTTCTGGTTTAGTTACAAAGTTCCGCTGTTCAAGTCCTATAATTGCTGTGTGTTGAGAATACCGACTAATTGTCAATCGAAATGTTTTCGTTTTCAATAACCTCTGGGTCACTTTCTTCACTATCGGAAGCGAATTATAATGACGAGGAACTTGATTTAAATCATATCAAAGACGGAGTATATCGAGATGAATACTACACTTAGTACGGAATTATAAACCAAATAAAATAAAAACATCTGCTCTGAAGATAAGGATAGTGCTGACAGATCAACTTCCAATCCGCAGCGTGAAATTGATAAACAGATTTCGGATTTCAAAACAATACTTTCGCTTGTAGATACAAATTACATATTAGTAAATATATATCGGAAATTCTACTTGACATAATCTTTCTAATCTATCATAATCTAATAATGACGTTTCTGCCCCCCCCCCTCTGCCGCAGAGCAGCGTGAAATTGATAAACAGATTTCGAATTTCAAAACATACTTTCGCTTTGTAGTAAATATATATCGGAAATTCTATTTGACATAATCGAAAGTTCAAGCTTACTTTTATAAAATTGCTCTAACAGTCTGCAAAAAATAATAAGCCGGATCCAATTCGAAGATTAAGGAACAACGCAATCTGCAACATTAACTGAATTAGATAACTTTAGCTTAGCGTATAACTCCGTTACACAATAAACGCGCATGCGCATAAACATATTCGCAGCTGTAAGGGTCTTATGCGCTCTCGTAAACGCCTGTGCGCATGCGTGAACGCGACGCATGCGCAGAAAGTTTGTAGCTTTGAGGTCCGGATTATGGGTGTCCGAATTAACGACTTTTGACTGTATAGAGCTTAAAATGCCTCGGAACATTCGAAAGCAGGTCTATCGAAATAATGGTCATTGTGATTCCTTTATTATGCTTTTTAAAACTGCTTTAACAAAGGTTAAAGAGTTTAAGGTGAAAAGCAAAAACAGTTTCGCATTTAATATGTTTGTAAAGTAATAATTAAAAATACTATCCATAACTATGTTACATATAATATAATTATTATTTATATTAAGATAACTTCCATTAATGCAATATATTCGTCATGTAATATTGTATATATATATAAGCGAAATACCACTGACTCATCACGAGATCACCGAAACTACACATACTATTACGAAATGTACAGGCGTGGTAAGATGGCTTCCCGCAAAGCAGTTTTAGGGTTCACATAAAATGGCAAGGAAGGCAGTTGACACATTTGGCGAGAAAACGACCATTTGGAGACAAAATTGGCGATATGCCGTGGACGTATGGAGAACCTTCTGGAACGAATTCTTACCGGTTTAGCCCAGAATGTTCTCGAACACAAGCCGAAAGCTATATAAACCCTGCTGCTTCGCAGTCAGACTTTGGCCTCGTATAGAGCGCGAGATAGTGTCTCGAGTTAGTCATTCCGTGCGGAGTCGATCGAGTTGACAGCTGGGCAGCGAGTCGTCGAGTGCATCGAAGAGTCTCTTAGTGTACCGCGGTTGGTGCATCCTCAAGAGAGCGTGTTGAGCTCCGGGAACGACTGAACGGAAGAGTCGGAGCCGTGCTCTGTGTGCCGTCGAGTGCATCGCGAGTTGTAGCGTGAAGAGTCTCAAGAGTACGTGGAGTTCCGGGAACGACCGAGCAGAGTCTGGAGCTGCACTCGGGTGCTTTGCAGAGAAGCTGTCTCCACCGTTGTTGCCTGACAGTGTGTCGCTGATTGTTACAGCGTGTTTATAGTAGATCTCCAACGACTGTAAGGTTGACTTTGGAGCTGTCCTGATTAATATTGGTAAAGTGTGTTTCGATACTTCATCAAGTGTCGTCGTTATTCACTCCAAATCCTCACGAAACCCCGTAAAAACGGGTGTCAGAAAAAGAAAGCATAACAACTGGTGTCAGAAGTGGGATTTGCGAGTGAAGGCCAGTGACCCGTCTGCAGAGGAAAGCCATGGCGGAGGAAACGAAGACTTTGATGGACTTCTTGGCTGAGACAATAGCCGGATATGATGAGATAAAAGCTGGATATGAAGAGATGAAAGCTGATATCAAAGCCGGACTGAAAGAAATGAAAGCCGGACTGGGAG